CTGTTACAATAGGGGCTACAGTCCTGTTACTATAAGGCCTACAGTAAAATGTACTGTAGAAGAGTGGATTTGCATGTTTAGCTGACTCTACACAGTATTCTACTAACTGCATGCCTGAGCTGTCACCCTTTCTGCTGCAGTGGATTTGGCTGTTGTGTGTTTAGGAGGCTGACCTGGGCACTTGTGTGTTAATATTCCTGCAGGTAGTGTCAGCAGTAACTACCAGTGGCCATCGAACAGCCTGAGGAGCGTTTCTCTTTCGTCTCTCACCCAGCCAGAGTAAAGGGAACAGGCCTGCGACACGAGCTTTATGTGTGGCGAGTGTGTGTGTGTATAAGTGGTACGTGAGCGCGTGTGTGTACAAGTGGTTTGTGAGTGTGTGTGTGTGGCATGTATAAAAGACACCTGCATCATCTTGTAAAATGAAAAAGTGCCCAGACTATTTGTATGCGACTAGTCTGAGCCCCTGAGGCATTTAGTCTGATTGGAGAAGAAACTAGTAAAATGAAGTAAAAATAGAATGTAACTCAACGGCTGACAGGACTTGGAAAGTAACTAGCAGTGTGCTGTTTGTTGTGTGCGGTACATTACAAATCCAGGCTCGGGCATTCCTGATGCCAGAGTCCCGGGGGGCTACAGGACACAGGTAATCAGGGATGTATAGACAGGGCACCAGCGCCAGGTTCTGTTCGGTTCAGATCGGTTCTGTCAGGAGTGTCCTGGTCCCGGCGTCGGCGGGGGTAGGTGTGAAGGTGCTAACTCCAGAGACAAGCTCGCGTTGCTCCATTAATTGTCTGCCTGAGTGGCAAAATGTCTTTAGAGACAGCCTACAGACCCCGCTCCGCCGAGCGCTGTATCCCAATCCCGGAGACTGGAGACAGCTGTGGGGTGTGGGGGGGTGTGGGGGGGACTCAGGGCTCATTCCGGGAAGGTTGTGGATTCACATCCCAGGTGGGACCCTGCTGCTGTCCCCCTGGGCGATGTGCCGTGGCCAGATCTCTGCAGTAAAGCGCCCAGCTGTGTAAGTGGATCCGCATGGAGGAGTGCTCTGTGCTCTTGCGGATAGAGCCGTCAGAAACGAGTCCAGCAACCCTCTTCAGCGCACTGGTCTTGATCTCAAACCACGGGGAGCTGCTGCGTGGTTTTCACGGTGCCCTACATGATGGGAGACAACCCCAGCTGTTTCGGGAGGGCATCCATGCGAGTCCCCAAAGCGAGAGTTTTTTTGGGTGTGTGCTCTTGTCACGCCCCACACTCTAACTCGGAAACGCCGTTCTGTCCCTGTCACATTCCACACTCTCCCTCGCAAACGATGTTACATTCCCGGAACCTCTGCTTCACAATCTCATCCCTGATTGAACCCATCACATTCTCACATGCATCAGATTCCTCATATTTCTCACTCCCTAACCAATCATCCAATCACACCCCTTTCCTTTCAGTATTTAAACCCCCTTCGCCTAATGGCAATAACACTATTAACACTATTAACAATAACACTATTAACACACAAGTGCCCAGGTCAGCCTCCTAAACACACTTACACCTTCCCATGCTCCCTAATGAGAAGCCTTTAGTAGTATTTGCCAGTGTGTGTTTCCAAGCCTTTTGACTGATCTCCCGTTATGAATCTTCTGCTTCCGCCTCTTGACCTCGCCTTCTGGATTTTGACTTTTGGATTGTTTTTGGATATCTCTCGTTACCGGACCCTCTGCCTCCCTTATCGACCCAGCCTTTGGATTTCGTCTTTTGGATCGTCCCTCTGCTACTCTGCGTCCTGTGGGATTCCGGTCGCGCATGAGGATCCTCCTATTCCACATATAGGTTCCGCGACAGCTCTGAAAGCTGTTTCAGCTCGATCTGCAGAACGGGCATGTGCTCGTTTAGAGAGGCACTCGTCAATCATGGCCAGTTGGGCAATCGCATTGTGATCATGTTCATTTTCACTCAGATTTCAGCTCTGCCTCATGGTGCTGAAGAGGTTGGGTTTGTTTTTTTTTGTCAAAGTTAACTTGGTGGATTCAGGATCGGCAGTGAACGTGCGAACCAGAGGATGTAAGGGGAAACTACAGGGAAGGGCACAGATTTTGTTTCCGATTTTTAATCCTTCGTGGGGCTTAGAAACAAGTTGCCCAGCCACGTTGTCAAAACAGATACGCTGGCATCCTCCTAGAACTGGTTAAATATGATCCTGGGGTCAATTAGCAACTGAAAGAAAAAGAACAAACGTGCTCAGACTGTCTGACAGTCTTCCTCTTGACCCTCATTGTTCTCACGTTTTTAGTTGATAGGCAGCCCGACACGCCTGTTTGAACGCAGAGAGCTGGTCGCCATGGTGCCGGAGTGCCAACGCTCCTGCCTGTGGGCCTGAGCACCGTCTGTCAGTGCGTGCGTTTGGGCAGCATGGCGGGCTCAGGGTGTGTCTGGTGGCCAGAGGGGGCAGGAGTTTCAATTCTTGACCTCGCGCTTCTGGGGGGTGGCTGGATAAGGGGTCCAATGGAAGACGATGAGGAGCTGGGGCGGACCCTGACGGCGTGGCGCACAGCAAGGGGCTGTGCACAAGGGGGTGACGTTGTGTTGTGTGTGTGTGTGTGGTTTCCCACGGTGCCAGCAGGCTGTGTGTGTTACTGCTCTCACAGTGCAGAGAGTTGGTGGGGGGGGGGTCTGCCACCAGCTGCCCAGCCATGTTGCTAAAGCCCATACCCCAGCTGGAAGAGATCCTCCAGTTAGGGCAGGAGCCACTTCTTTACACAAAGGATAGTGGGAGTGGGAAACAGGCCTCCCATCCATGCTGCTGAAGCCCAAACATGCGGAGGAGATCCTCATTTCAATTAGCTACTGGAACCCGATGGGCTAAATGGCTCAGATGACCTCTCCTCACTTGTGACCTTTCTTGTGTTATGTCTATCACAGGTCCAGCCTGCCACACAGACCAGATTTCACCAAGTCAGAAAGAAGCATATAAACTGCTTCAGTTGGCAGGGATGCTCATAAACAATCCATTTTCTTACAATTAAGATGACTCAACTTTATAAACTGTAGTTTTACCACCATGCTTAATTGCTGCCTAAACACGAAAGACTTTTTTTTTAATGTTTAAATCAGCAGTGATTTTCTATTTCATACCCCGCCAACAGGGGACGGGCCACTGATTACCTGTGTCCTGCTGCCAGCAGCAGAATGAGGACATGTGCCTGCACCCCTTTGACACACCCACCTGACAGAGCCTTTCGCCATGTGGCTCGGGAGCGGGCACTGAGTCAAAGTGGGCCGGCTGGCGCCCACCAGGGGCGGCTCTGCTGCTGCAGCAGCCTACCCAGCCCTAGCAGCACCCCGGCTCCAGTAAGCTAATGACAGCTGGGGCATAAGCAAGCGAGCACAAGAGCGCCCCCTACGGGGCGAGCAACCTGTAAAATCTCAACGACCTGCGCGTGTATTTGCCATTTTTTTCTGTTAAAGAAACTCCCCTAAACTTCGGTGCTCTTCTGCAAGACAGAAGTTTCTGATTTCGAAGATTTGACTTGATTTTCTCCCTTTTTGCCACGAGTTGAACTTTTCACACCTATTTCATTCTAGGACGGTGTTTCTCCTAGGTTGGTCGAGTTCTGTGTCGGTCACTTATGCACAGTTTTTAGAGATTTGGTTGAGGCATCCTCCTTTGCCTTTCTGCACCCTGTTTATTTTTCAGCTTCCTGTTCCTTCTGTGTTTCGAGCAGGGTGCGTTTTCTCTCGCGCATGTCCTTTGAGTGTTGCTGCAGAAAGGCGTCTCGGACAGCGTGCGACATTAAACAGGTCCAACGAGACCTGGCCACACTTAACTAACAGTTTTTACTCTGCTTTTACCACACACTTAGTGTAGTTGGCATCCTCCGGTATGGTATCTCTCAGCGCCTCACACTGCTTTCACCACGATCTCACTCTGCTTTCACCACGAGACTCCACAGACGAGGTTAACGAGGAGCTGCTCTCCTGGGAAGCAGTAGCTGTCACACTTACCCCAGTCGGGCTTCTCCTTCACAGTTGCAGGCAGGAGAGCCGTGGGCCTGTCTCGTGAGCTAGGTAATGCCCTGGAGCTCGTTACCGACCCTTCCAAAGCCTGAGAAGAGGTGTTGTTGACAAAGTAAAGTTAAACAAACAGAATAAATCGCACGTCATAAATCGCTGCACAGTGCTGATTCTGACCCAGGCGGTCAGGGCTCCCGTCTGCAACTGTATACGACCCCCCCAGCTAGCCAATCTGTTTATAGTGTGGAAGCTGCTGACCGCTGAGCAATTGCAATTTGTGACCCCCCCCACCGGGGTCAAGGAATTTCCAAGAAGACCAGGCGGGCTGCCATTCACCCTGGCACACCCCATGACCCCTGCATCCTCCAGGGGGCAATAGATAGCCCAGTTCTGCTCTCTGCCCCTGTCACGCCTGGGGGTCAGGCTCGGGAGCCAAAGAGCTTCTGGATTTTTGCTCCAGCTGGGGCTTCCCGATTAATACCATTGGCTCACGGGGACATACTGTATTCGTTTAGCAAGGTCTTTGGCGTGTGAGGATTTAAATGGTGTAATTGTACTTGACTCCTTTGGCACACCAGGACTGCACAGTAAGTCCTCACCTGT